AAATTTTGATCGATAATGAGACGGGCAAAGGTAGAAAAATATCGCGAAAGACGACTTACATCACTAGATGACGCTAGAAAAAAGATTTTCTGGGAACAGACCTTTCTTTATTACCACCTTGCCGTATACGTGGTCTTTTGCTGCATGACTGGAATGAAGATTTACAATGTGAATTGGTTCCTGAAGCATATCCAAAGGATATGCGAGCTGTTGGCCAGCAACCAAGAAAATATTTGTCTCGCTCATATGAACTTTTGATTTTGAATCTTCTGATGAAGACTAAGAATAAACTAACAACTAAACATATCTCTGAGTTAATGTGTTTTTGATTTACATTTCAAGATCTCTTGAAAAGTACCATTATAATTTAATATTTTGAACGAAAACGATAACGAGATACCACTTTAAACTCAGTTATGAACAAAATGAGTTCTCTCCACAAAAACACATGTTACCCCCCGCCCCATCCCCCCACGGCGGGCACTCACCCCGGCGTCACCCACATATAATAGGAATCATATAAACATATTTAGAGATGATTCATCAAGCTCTTAGAAAATCATTTAAATCAACGTGAACTCATTTCCCCGCCAATTTTATCCCCACCCCACCCCTCCACACGCGCACACCTGCTACCCACACCCCACCTTCCCATAAATCAAAATAGTTGTCCAGGGGCATCGTAAGCACTTATTTATAGATGGTCAGTCCTAGAAATTTATGTTTTATTAATATATTATGTCAACATAATGACCTCTCCCCTTCCCCACCATTGTAGGCATTTGACCCCCTATATCTCGAAAATGCCCCCTCAAACGCCTGATCACCACCCAGATTCGGAATCTACGCAAAAATCTGGTCTAGAAAAACTTGGTCTCATAAATTCACAGCTCGGGCGGCGATTCCCCCCCCCCCCCTTCAGCCACCGGACTAAATAGACATATTTAATTTCATTCAATATGACAATAGAAGACAAATAAATACTTCTAAAAATTTCTAAAGGCATACTCAGTGTTTTGGACTAAAATCGTCGATGTAGGAATTAAAATGTCGGTTACTTAGCTTAGGGTCTGTTCCCAGGCGGAGCTAGCTGTAGACAGGCAGCCTAAGTTTGGGATGGGGGTCTATAGAAATGACATGGGGTTCAACGTACTACTGTTAGGGGTCTATAGTAGTGGGAGGAACCCGGTGAAAACCCACGAGGTTGGACAGGTGACAATACTCCTTGTCACATTCAACCGGGGAATCGAAACCATGCCAGTTGACTCAATGACAGACCATCTGACACAACTCGCACGCGCTAACCATTCGGCCACCCAACCCCCTCCATCAGTCAGAAACAAAGATATCTGGTCATAAAGCATCGACCAATGAAATTACATAGCCCTGCTTAGCTTTAGCGGGATATGTAATTCATTGAAATCAGTCAAGACATTAACCCAATGAACATCTTCATCAAGTTTAAACATTCTACCTCAATTAAAAGCAGAGATGGTATGTTCCAAAGTCTTGCCTAATCAAATTGCTTATCGCTACTTCACCTATGAAGAAAATTCTCATCATCGAACTTAGTCAAGGTATTGATATAATGAATGTATATACTCGGAGTTTCATCAGTCTCACCTAATTAGAACCAAACTGCGCATGATCAAACTATTTCAAGGCATTCACGTAACAGACACCTACAATTAGAAGTAGAGTTATTGTGTTCCAAAGCCTCGACTAATCAGATTGAAGTCTCTACGTTGCCAAAGCAGTAAAATAGAATCAGTCCGTACATTCCCCTGTTATTATTCATTCTATACTTAATAAAAACATGGTAATGCACGAATTTTATCGTTTTCTATTATCTAGTGGCAGTCAATTATTTTTCGAATGGCCAGTTATCTTCCAAGTGTCTCGATCATATCGAAGGAATTATTATTGTGTAAAAAATTGCCCGTGTATCTGTTATTACTAATCACTTCAGACTGTTATATAGAAGGGTAACTCGTGTTTTTCTTTCGTTTCTTGACATCTTCATTGCGCACCTAGCGTAGCAGTGATCTCTGTGTTAAAATTATATTTGAACAAGGTTAAACAGTTCTATCACGTATGTGATAATGACTGACACCAATATTATCCTTTAATTAGAACCATCGTGTCCCAAAGCATCAACCAATAAAACTGCTTATCTCTGCTTATCCTAAGCAGAACATGCTCATCTTCCAACTCCATCAAGGCATTCACCTCAATTATAGAAGGAGCGTTAATATGTTCCATAGTTTTGAGCAACCGAATTGCTTATCGCTGTGCTTAACCATGAGCAGAAAATGTTCATTATCGAAATTAGTCAAGGTATTGGTGTAATGAAACTGTACACCATGAAATAAAACTATACACTAAGTTTCATATTCTCACTTAATTAGAACTAAAGTTATCGTGTCCCAAAGCATCAACCAATCAAATTGCTTATCTCTGCTTCCTCTAAGCAGAAAACGCGCATCTTCAAACTCAGCCAAGGAATTCACATAATAAACACTTACACCAAGTTTGAACATTCTAGCTCAATTAGAAGAGTGTCCCAAAAATGTGACAGACTTGGAAAGGCGGGTGACAATTAAGTGAGTTATATAGCAGCAAATTTTTTTGTGCTCGAAGGAACTCCTTAGAACTACACACTACTTGTATACCAAGTTTGAACATTCTACGGTAGCTCAATTAGAAGAAGAGTGTCACAACAGACCTATTTTATTAGCCCCCTGCGCTCTTCGAAAGGCGGGGGACAAGTAAAGGAGTTACAGGGCAGCAACTTTTTTGTCATCAAATCATGACAAAACCTGCTCAAAGGAACTATTCACTACTGTGCTGAAGCAAGACTATGGCAAGCCAAAGCGGAATTAATTGCAAGACCGTTTTTCTGCACGGAAAGAGAAAAAATCGAGTATATAACTATTTATTCATCACCTTCCAAGCATTTTTTCCTGTACAAAACGACGTATAAAGATTCAATAAAGATTATTTTTTCCATTGCCGCTCTTGTATTTTGTTAAAGTCAAGTCAATTTATACTGTTCACGGAAATATTTTACCACTATATTCGGTTTTTATAAACAATTCAACAAAATTATTTTTCACATGTCAAGACAAAAAAAAAATACACATGTCAAGACGAAAAAATTCATATGTCAACACTAAAAAATTCACATGTCAAGACGGAAAAAAAATCATATATCACGAGCACGTGACCTTTCAAGAGCACATGACCACAAAAACCGATGACGTCACTGCAAACAAAGATGGTTGCTTTTCATTTTTTTTTCTGGTCGACATTGAACATGTCAGGAAGCCCCCCACTAACATCACTAATCACCATCATTTCCATCCAAACCCTAGACTCGCTACAATAGGTGGCTGAAATTTGACCAAAAATGACAAAATTGGCCAAAAATCACCCAGAGGTTGTTTCTCAATAACGGTGAAATTTTGAGATCGGCCCGCCTGGCTGTGAAGTAGTCTTGAGGAGTCCATAAAATCCCCCCGAGATGAACTTGATCTGCCTGCCCCCACCTTCAGCATGGTTTTCTCGTGGAATGACTCTTAATTCCGCTTTGGCTTGCCATACAAGACCGAAGATATCAGTGGTGCAACCATTTCTAATTGTATACCAGAACATACATACTATAAATCTTTAAATAATAAGAAATATTTTTGTCCCCCGCCTTTCGAAGAAAGCAGGGGACTATTAAAATGGGTTCGTCCGTCTGTCTGTCTGTCTGTCTGTCTGTCTGTCCGTCACACTTTTTGGGACACAATAACTCTCTTCCTAATTGAGCTAGAATGTTCAAACTTGGTGTATGTGTTTATTAGGTCAATGCCTTGATGGAGTTCGAAGATGAGCATTTTCCGCTTAGGGTAAGCAGAGATAAGCAATTTGATTGGTTGATGCTTTGGGACACGATAACTCTCTTCCTAATTGGGCTAGAATGTTCAAACTTGGTGTATGTGTTGATTAGGTCAATGCCTTGATGGAGTTCGAAGATGAGCATTTTCCGCTTAGGGTAAGCAGAGATAAGCAATTTGATTGGTTGATGCTTTGGGACACGATAACTTTTAATTGAGCTAGAATGTTCAAACTTGGTGTATGTGTTTATTAGGTCAATGCCTTGATGGAGTTCGAAGATGAGCATTTTCCGCTTAGGGTAAGCAGAGATAAGCAATTTGATTGGTTGATACTTTGGGGCACGATAACTCTCTTCCTAATTGAGCTAGAATGTTCAAACTTGGTGTATGTGTTGATTAGGTCAATGCCTTGATGGAGTTCGAAGATGAGCATTTTCCGCTTAGGGTAAGCAGAGATAAGCAATTTGATTGGTTGATGCTTTGGGACACGATAACTTTAGTTCTAATTAAGTGAGATTGATGAAACTTGGTGTATAGTTTCATTACAGTAATACCTTGACTAAGTTTGATAATGAGCATTTTCTGCTCAGGGTAAGCAGAGCGATACGCAATTTGATTGGTCGAGACTTTGGAAAACAATAACTCTCCTACTTTGATTGTCCCCCGCCTTTCGAAGAAAGCAGGGAACTATTAAAATGGGTTCGTCCGTCTGTCTGTTTGTCTGTCTGTCCGTTCCGCTTATGGTAAGCAGAAAAAACAAATTGAAAAAGAAACTACTATAAATTAATTAAATATGTAGTATGCAATAATGAATTGACATTTAATGACAGAAAGAAAACAGTGAACTTTGCACAACTTGCAGCAAGATGGAAAATAGACCCGTTGATACAACCAAACTCTAGATCTGTAGGCATAGAGCATGTTTTCCCCTTAATATGCTATAATTATTCCATCAAAAACATTGTATGCTTAGACTATAAGTAAAGATATACTGTTTGATTGTTCAATACTTTGTAAAAGATAATTTGTGATAAATTTATATGTGTCCTCTAATTATTTTCCTATTTCGGCGGGGGACATCAGCCTCACTGTTGGCTTGTTTTATACTACAGATTGCAATGAACCAGAACCTATTTACCATTCATATAGACACGGAAATGGTTTAACGGAAGGAGGATGGTTCAATTATACATGTTACCAAGGTTACACTTTAGTCCAGGGAGATTTAAACAGAGAATGTCAAGCTGGTATTTTTACAGGCGATGTGCCTCTTTGTTCCGGTAGGTATTGCATAACTCATTCGACACAATCACCAGTCATTAACTTTCAATTGCAATTAAATTAAATTGAGCCAATACTACTTTTAACTGCTGGCTGACAAGCAACTATATCGTTCCATGGTTAGATCTATGACCACCTCCAGATTTGGCCAAATATCATGTAAACAGGTATAGCACTAACCCCAACCCTATTACAGATGGTTGCATTCCAGGGCTTTACCGTGTTGGTCCGGCGTTCGGCTGTGTGGTCCACAATTTTGAAGGTTTCTTGCAGAAATTCTATAAATAAGACCTAAACAGCAAATATAGGACTTGATTGTTATTTGCTACTTTTAGAGAGAGAGAGAGAGAGAGGGAGGGAGGGATGGGGTTTAAAGTCCACTCGACACAAACTAGGTCATATCGAGACTAACATATGGTTTAATTTTATTTCAATAATTCGCTTGAGGTTGGAAGGCGACCCTACTCCTTGTGACGTACAACCGGGGAATCAAAACCGCGCCAGTTGACTCAATGACAGACTTTATGATACAGCGTGCACGTGCTAACCATTCAGCCATCCAACCCCCCTGTTACTTTTACACGCTGAAATGTTGTGCCGTTTTTATGAATCTATGTGTATCCTACAACACGAAGGTGTATATTTGATATGATTTTAACCATGATAAAGACTGAAATTTAATAATTACTTTTGGTGGGCTTTTCCCGGCATTTTCATATATTCCCTTTCTATCTTCATGCTGATTGATCTATGTGGTAAATTTAGGGAGGTGGGACCTTTCACATTTGTATATACTTTCAGAAATGATACATTATTGAAAGGAAAAACTGCTGTCGAGTTGAAGTCGAAGATCTTTTTTTTTAATAAGAATCGACACTTATTTTTTTTTAAAATTCTAAATAGCCCAGCGACTGTCGAGCGACTTTACTCCCTTCAGGAATTTGTAGACTAGGCACTTGACTAGTACTGATGTTGATCTTGGTAGATAACTGCCATCATTCTGTAATAGAACGAAACTCACATCAGTTGCCCATACGTACGCGGCGCGAAAATCTGCCAAAACTACGTTGACGCAACGTATCACGTGACGATACGTATAGTGATACGGATGTGAAAAATTCCACTTGTCAAAAGTCTCTAATAGGGACAAGCCTATCGTAACGCATCGCGAACCTAGCATAACATCACGGGTTGACACACATACAACCGTTTGGTAGTACACCAAATGGCCAGTTAATCTAAGAGTTTAGTGCGTGATGTTTATCGATTCTAGAACAAATGATGAAAATGCTTTTATTTATTGAGCATCAATTATAAATATAATGCCCTCGTCAGACCGAAGTGGCGTCTTTAGTGCGCTGCTACGACCGTACGGTGACCAGAAAATGCGCATTGCACACGATCGCCGGCAAACGCAATCTGATTAAAATACAGATCTTTATTTCGTTTCTTTTTTTATATACTTTCGATGGCCTACACTACATGAAGATTGTAGTAAAAAATCGCTAGGCGCTGTTCTATCAGACTCGACTACTTTCATTATTACATCTTCACATTGCAGAGAATTTGGCACTATATGGCGTATTTGTAGCTGTTCCATCAGACCCAAATAGTATACCAATGCATATAGTTGATGGAGACAACACAACCTGTTCACAAAGCGCCGCTGACAGTAATCCAACCTGGCAAATTACTCTAACTAAAAATAAAACCGTGCATCGAATAATACTCAGTTGGCCAGATGGATCAAGTAAGTTTTGTTGTCCGGTAACATCATTTCAGGTATAATGTCCTCGTTTTTCGGTCAGATAATATGATTTATTTATATATCTTTGTCTTATATACAATGTATGGCAATCCCATTTCGTCCAAATGCGCACATCAATATTCATGAGTACTCCAACAAAATATTCATGAGTACTCCTCCAACAAGTTTACCGTGGACGGTTACAGCAAGCTATAACCTCGAATTGCCCAATCCAAGTTACCGGGATATCGTGTTTGAATCGTGTACTAACAGGAATTCTATGTACATCCAGTTCGTTGAATAGATGATCAACATACTGGACGTAAATGAAAGGTAAAAAGACTGTGATGACTTTACATATAGACATCATAAAGTCTACTTAGGAAATAACATATGTGTCCATGCTCTAAACATGTAGTTCCTGAAAACTTAAGGGTCAACAAAGGGACGTTAGGGATAAGTACACATTTGAAAGTTAATATACAACACAAATATTGCTATTTATCAGATTCAGTTTTGTTGTGTGGTGTGGAGTTACACTTTCCTGACAGCTGGGCCAGTTGTCGCCTTGCACCATTTATCGCTTTTAGCTTTCATTTATTGTATATATCCCATGAATAGCGACTCACGACCGAGACGTAACTGTAACTTTCGATGTATATCTTCAAACACGTATGCCCAATCATGCTGTCTCCGATGGTGGAGGTAATGTTATTGACCTCTGTCAGTATTATGCTCATAATGCAAAACCGGCAAGACTTGCTAAAGTCGTATTGTGTTTCACATCTGGTACCATTCATGGCCAGTGCACACACACACTTGAAGTAAGGAATGGTTTCGGACATGAAAAATGAGTTCTTCCTGAGTGCCTTGTAGTGACGTCTGTTTTTCCTTGTCCTTAATGAATGTTTGAATAGAAAGGGTCCATGTGTATCTTTAAGCCTGTTTGAAAATCAGCTTTCTCATCATATTTCCAGATAACCTATTAAATTCTATATCAGTTACCATAACAGATGGGAGTGATGTTTATAATTGTGGTACAGCTACTTTCACTTCTCCACCAACTAACTCTCTTATTATTGATTGTCATAAATTTTACACCGGGGAGGTAATCAGCATTGTTGGTGACCCCATTCTCCTCCCCTCGTCTCTAGAATTGTGTGAAGTTAGAATTTATGGAAGCGATTTTAAACGTAAGTTCTCATCGTCATTGATTTATGTTTATATTAATTGTTTTAATTAAAACAATAACCAATATAGTATATTTTACACCTGAGAGACAAAAAGCATTGTTGGTGCCAGTCCCCGTTCCTCATATCTAGAATTATGTGAAGTAGAAATGTAGGGAGGCGATTTTAAAGCAGCTAAATCGCTAATATTTGGGACCCCATTCTCCTGCCCCCGTCTCTAGAATTGCGTGAAGTTAAAATTTATGGAGGTGATTTAAAACATAAGTTCTCTTTGCCATTGATTTATATTAAAAACATTTATTAAAACAATAAAGAACATTGTAAATAGTTGACATTTTCATTCCACTGATCACATTCATAGCGAGTAACGATGTTATGTTAAATCAATTTTATTAATCATACAAAGTAGAATGTAGAGGATTGTATCTGTTTAGTCTAAATCTTTTTTTTTTCATAATATTTATAGTTTATTCATATTTATATTATTTACTTATTTTTGCATGTTCTGTTCTGAATTATTTATAATTTTTTTTACATTAAACAGATATTTATATTAGTTATTCATATTTTCAGTTTTATTTTCGGAACAAATTATTTTGTGTTGTGAATCTATACACATTTATTGTACATGTTTGTGCTAATGTAATATTTACACATTACCGCCATTTCACATTTCGTATTTTCTGTTCTTATTATCTTTTTATGTGTGTATTATCTTTGGATGTGCTGTGTGTATTTTCTATTCAAACGCGTAATATAGGTTAACCTCTTATCATTTCACAGCCGTGTAATATTTTCATGTGTTGTTAAATGGCCGAGAGCGAGACAATAAGTAATATATTGATTCTCCACGAGGCGTTAACCGAGTGTTGTTTAAATATATTACGTAATGTCTTTAGCTCGAGACCATTAAACAACTTAAAATACAGACACTATCGCGCACGTGTTTTTCAATGAAATACGCCACGCGAGTCCAATATTTCATTTAGTATAGATAATAATGTACGATTGGCAAGTTGCCCGTACATTATTGGAAATAATGGTACGCCAACATCAAAGGATGACGTCACATCTGTATTTTAAACTCATCAATGAATGTTTGTATTGCCTGTTCATACTATTATCAAAACACCTACTGCTACTTTTCACTGTAATACCTTCCACTGGTAAAATTAATCTTGTCTTCCATTTTCTTGGGAGCTAAGGTGGCGCAGAGAGTAGAGCGTTTGTTTGCAAACCTGTATGGAAGAATAACGTTGCCAAAATTATTGCAATGTTCATGGTGCAATATGCATGTCAGTAGTTCCCGTGTGAAAATACAGAATACACTTTTCATTAATACTAATACAGTATAATTGTTATTTTGCACATTACACTTCCCCATTCTGCCTAATAGACTAATGCATAATAGAACTTAGCATACTAGAACATATACCTTATATGGGATCTACGACCAAGCTCATTTGCATACGGAAAAAAGTCTGTACTTGGACGGAAATTAATAATTTACGTGATCAAGGCCAAGATATAGGGAGTCTCCATATTGCTGAGGCATTGACCCGAGTCATCTCTCAAGCCATTATTGCACTTGGAGCCGAAACTTGGGTTTTTGACGCAGTGTGTCTAATTTTATCATCTAATTAAATTTCACCTGAGTAGATTTATAATGTAATGTAGCCGCGATTGTCATTTTACACTTTTACGTCAACATATCTTGCCTTTGTTAATCCCCATCCATTGGTTACGCTGTATTGGTTGTTATCCAGGGACAGTAATGACCACGCACAGTCCAAATGTGTTTGAGTGGGATTAGGTATAACTAAAAGAAACCCTGCGAGCAGTATATGGCGAGCCTCCGGCAAAGGTGTCATAAACACTGCTGCTTAAACACCCGTCACTCGGCAAACCTCTGCAGATTCCGTTACTCTACATCTAGCCTCGGCTGTATGACGGTAAATGATATGTGCCTACGCCTATACAATTGCGATGCGGCACCGGTTTACTAATTAGGAAAATTTACCGCTTTTAAAAAGAAGTTATCAAAATTGCGTCGTTGGATGCGTGTGTAGAATTTCAGTGCAAAGTTGTCCTTGTTCGAAGAAAATCGGATAACCTTAAAAAAAAAAACAGCTTTAGACTTTGAAATATTTGTATGATAAAACATTCTTCAAAGACGTCGTCATGGGCAACGCCGTTGGTAATCCGGGAACTTGAAAGTAGTTACAGGGGAGGTTAGATGTAGGGTACTGGAATCTGCTGAGGTTTGCCGAGTGAAACACCCGTCAGTATTATTGCCGGATTCGCCCAATTGTGTTTAAAACACTCGTGTTATCATTTTGTTGCGTCACTTCCTGGGGCTCTGCACCTAAACCTGGCACTGTTTAATCGCCTACATTGACATTCAATAATATTTAGCCATATTAACAACCTCAATCGATCGTCAGTGCTGTTCGAATTATTCAGAGTTGTTCGCATTGGATGGTCTAGTGGTTCAATGTCTGTCATTGAGTCAAGTGGCGAGCTTTCGACCCCCGCTTGAACGCGACAAGGAGTACGGTTGGGAGATAAATACATCTTTTGATATAACAAAAATATCAACACTCGTCGATAAAATAAAAATAGTCGCGGCAAAGCCTCGTTCTTTTTTTTTACATTATCCACTCGTGTTTATATGTTTAGATATCAAAAAAGACTCGTAGGAGATTCGCTATTTATTTATATTTTAGATCTCTGTGGTAATCCACCGTTTGTGTATGGCGGTGAATTTGTAGAACAGTTGACACCAGATACTGTATTGTATTCCTGTGTTCAGGGGTTTTACTATGGTGGATTAAACCGAACATCAACTTGTCAACCTAATGGGACATGGACAGATGTTCCGATATTGTGTTTCGGTAAATTATATAATTTAACTTGTGATTTTGGTATTAGTCGCAAATAATAACCAGTTACTGATATACCAAAATGTAATACCTTTTATCTCCTATATTCGTTAACCCAAAGAAGGCGGCCACAAACGACGTGGACTATATACCCGTAATCGACACCAGCTTGAGCCAGTCAGGATAACTCTTTCATTTCTTTGGCATGTCAACCACAGCAAATGTATTTATGTTAAAGTTATATTTCGAATGTGTTTAAACATCACCTATGTAATATTGGTGAACACTTCACATTGTCCTGTAATGGGTAATAACCTCTCTACTTTTCTGACTAAACCTTCCACTGGCATGATGTCCTGGTAAAAAGTAGAATACACCTGAAAGTAGTGGAATTTCTTTCAGGAATGTTGAATACGGACAATGGTAAACGTTAAGGGTAGTATAATGGCGTACAGCAACATTTATATTTAAACAAATTGAACAGCGCAACTATTCCTCTCGGTCTATATAGAACGGAAACAAAGAAAACAAACTTTTTGTGTTTGATAATATTATGTATGATTAAAAAATGTTCCTGTAATGTGTCCAGATAATGAATATATAATTATTTAAAGGAGCTATAATTTGGGACCTAGAAATGGACATAAATCGGTCGCAACGCATATAATAATGTAATATGAATGTATATAAACTGATTTACATTAAATCGTTTCTGTTTTACCGTAATTTCTAATCGGGTATGTTCGGTGAAATACGCCAGACGTCTCAATCGAATGGCAGTCTCTAGCGTCTGTTTATTCCAGTCTACACCGATAGTATTTATTGCGCATGATAAAATGTTTATTTTGTCTTTAATATTGGATATCAGAAGCCCATTTTTTCCCGGTAAGATCACAACATCAATGTTGATTTAAATTGATAAATAATTCGTGTTTTCAACGTTGAAGACTTTGAATGGTATTGAGTTAGAGACTTAGCTACTTTAATGAATGTACCCCACTATTATTGTACATATATTCATCTATACGATATATATTATTACATATTACAGGTTATATCTATAACAACCTATATAATTATTTAATGTATCTCAGTATTATTATTATTGTACGAGTCTTCATCTATACAATATATATTATTACATATTACAGGTTATATCTATAACAACCTATAGAATTATTTAATGTATCTCAGTATTACTATTATTGTACGAGACTTCATCTATACAATATATATTATTACAGAACCTGGAACTGGTGTTATGTCAGATAAATACAATGCACCTGGCAATAAATTGTTATTAGATGGTGATATCACAACGTGTACCCGTACATATATCAATAATAATCTCGCTGTCGTAATAAACAGCTTGAAACTAGTAGAGGCTGCATCTATCACAGTCTTTATAGGTGGTAAGTCTATATATAACCTGCATACTGTATAAATGAAATGAAATGGCGTTTAACGCCCTACTGTTCTGCTCCGAACTGGGCTTATGAAGACGGGCATACGCCATACAGTGGACTATGAGGAAAATTTCGCCCGGACAGCGGATTCAAACTGTCAAGGGATCATTTACGTGCACGCCAATGTATACACGGCACCTCAGTTTTTTGTCCCATCCGAACGACTAGACAACTGCCATGGTCAGGCCTTCCTTTCTGCACCACTGACAAGGCGAAACCAAAACTTGTGTAGAATCCGCGTCCAACAGGAATATGAAAACAATGGATCGATAAATATTAAAGTCTCTTTTATTTATTAACTTTAAGGCGAAAACACTTTCTCGGCCAATGCAGGAATCGAACACGCGACCTCCAGGCTAGCGAGCCAAGGTCTTACTCAGGTATAGCAACCGTGGCTCCTTACTTTGAAAAAAAAAAGATTCAAGTTGCAGTGAACGTAAAAGATCTCTTGGCTGTTGGAATTCGATACACGAGTAGGCCGTATACAGCGCCGCTGTCCGGGCAAATTTTCCCTCATAGCACACGTATGCCCGTTTTCATTAGGCCAATCATGGCAGAACATTAGGACGTTAAAGCCCATTTAATTTCATTTCATGGATCGTTTTTCGAAGGTCTTTAAATATGAGTACCGCCCCGTTCTACTGATAAGGTCATTCGCGTAAATTATTAATTTCCGTCCTAGTCCGGACTTTTTTCCGTATGCAAAGGAGCTTCGTCGTGGATCCCATATAAGCACAGGCACTTGAAGGGATTAAAATACAACTTTTTACTACTGCTTGACTTTATATTATAGTCCGTATACAAACGAGCTTCGTCGTAGATACCATATTTTAATCCCTCCAAGTGCCTATGCATATAAAGTATACGTTCTAATATGTTGAGTTCTATTATGCATTTGTCTCTTATGCAAAAATGCAGAAAGGAGAAGTGATATGTGCAGAATAACTAATATACTACTATTTGTGTAATTGAAAATTGTACTTTGTATTTTAAGACTGTGGCAATGGTATTGTCGATCAATGAAAATTGCAAATTGTAAAACCAAAATACGTATTTTGAACTGCTGACATATGCATTTTGCACCGTGAACATTGAAATAATATTGGCAACGTTATACTTCCATTAGGATGGAATTGATCAAACTGACTTTTTTATATTATTACAACGACCACCAGGTGATACGAACAGGGCTAGAACATTTGAATGTCTAGAAATACTTCTCAATAAATATATTTACTTTGGATAGCTCGACCAAATAAACTTGATTACCTGGCAATAACAATGATAATATGTGATGTTGCGACTAATATTGATACTTATTTCAAGAAATCCATCCCAAAGATATTCCACTTTCAATATATCCTTTCGATGTCAGATATGACAGAATTGAGGCAGATTGTGGAACTGAAAGTTCGTTATCTCACCTGTATAAGTCTTTAATTGATGACGCAAAAGTTGTATTGTAAACAAATATCCAAATCAACCCATGAAATTATTTAAACTTATTCCATATTAAACAGTCCCCCTCTCTTTATGGAGAATATTATTTTTGTTGCAGTAGATGAAATTTGGGATGGTATGATGATAAAGCTAGGGACAGTAGTTACGTCAAACGGATTTTGTTATTACAACGGCCCAGCAGATGATATGAGCAGAGCTAGAACATTTGAATGTACAAATATCATTCTTGATAAATTTGTTACTTTCACAACTACGATCAGAGTAAATGTGTCTATTTGTGAGATTTATGTGTCTTTCCGAAACTGGAATACAGGTAATTGTTATATGATTGTGACAATAATTCCTTCTGCCTGAATCTATCATAAAAAGTTTTGATATGTACTAGTACAAAACTCTAGTCAGAGGATATTGTTTTGGGGGAAGACGAACCCGCGCGATGAAATACAACACTCCCACATTTAACTTTACCCGCGAAAGACGACGACGGGGCCTGTTTCAAACATGGTCAATTAGAGCAGTATATTAAAAAGTGGAGGTACGGGCTTCGATTCCGGTACTCATATAGAGATGAGACACGGTGGCTCAGTACGGCAGTAACTCACTAACTAGACGGTACGGGCTTCGATCCGGGTACTCATATAGAGATGAGACACGGTGGCTCAGTACGGCAGTAACTCACTAACTAGACGGTACGGGCTTCGATCCGGGTACTCATATAGAGATGAGACACGGTGGCTCAGGACGGCAGTAGCTCACTACCCAGAAGGTATGGACTTCGATCCGGGTGTTGGCTGAGAAAGTTCCCCGGAGATTTTCCAGCGTGGCGCTGACACGAAAACCCGAGGCCCAGTGTACACGTTAGGGTGCACGTAAAGCACCCTTGACGGAGAAATCTAATTGCTTTCCCCCAACAGCACACCACATGACGTATGCCCATTATCATTAACCCAGTCGGTGCAGAAGGTATGGACGTTAAACCCCATTTCATTTATCCATTTATTAGCCCAGCCGGAGCAGAACAGTAGGACGTTAAACCCCAATTCATTCATCCATTCATTTTATTTCACTTCTGAATTTCCCCGGCAACACCGAATACAAACACCAACCAAATTAAAGTACGGTACGCACCAATGTGCACAATTGGATATTCTAAGCAAATCACAATATTAGATTGTGAGATAGTAAGGATTGTGTTCACATAGTCAAGACAACCATTGACCAGTAGGAACCGTTTCTTCTATTTCTAGGTCTGGAATGTCTACGTTATACAACAGGTGCAGATTATAAAGGGGAGTTGGATTATACTATATCCGGTGCATCATGTGATCATTGGTCAGATGCCCCGCCCTCATTAGCCATCAACACGTCACTTAATCCTAATATAGATGTTGATGACGCTAAGAATTATTGTCGGAATCCCAACCCATATAAAAATAAACCTTGGTGTTGGATTAAAAATTTTACTGACTGGGAATATTGCCAAATAAACATGTGTGGTAAGGATTTACGTTCTAATTTATTCTGAAGGTTTGAAGAATGTAATTATTAAACTGTGTAATGCGCAAAGGCTACATAACGTAAGATGCAGGGCAACATACTCATCATTGCTTGATAATGACTAAAGAAGCCTAGTCGAAACATCACTCAGAAGTTGTATTCCATAGAAGTGTGACCTGTATAGACTTGTCAGTGCCGGTTTTAAGCCGGTTTTCCACTAGGCGAATTTTTTCGCGCGAAGCGAATTTTTTCGAGTACAGGCATGCGCAGTATAATTTCAGGCGGCGCCATACTACTTTTTGCTGGCTCTTTTCTCTGCGAAAAAGTGAGTTCGACCAGTTTCTACTTTCCAGCCGCGAAAAAAGGAGGAAGCCAATCAGAATTACGTAAAATCTCACGTGGTAATACAACTCACGAGGCCAACTAAGCCATCCCATTCTCGTTTCTCCCCGCAAACAAAATGGCTGAACTGAATATTTTTCTCCTAAACCAAATGAGCTTAGATGAAGAGAGGCATTAGGCTATTCCACTTACTCTCCCAATCCCCCACCCTCACGACTAGAGGAAAATGAAAGTGTGATTTAAACACAACTGGGTAAAGCTGAGAATGATGATGTTTGTTTAAGACTACAGTAGCTTACTTGTAAGAATGGGTTATGACATTGTTCACATATTATTCACCGTGGCCCCACGATCTCGAGATCCTAAGCTTAAGACTGCCTATAGGAAATCCGGCACTGACAAAGAATCCAAAAGGACAGAGAGTCACTCTAAAACTGCTGTCTAGATGAATCCGCCACAGGTGAACATCCGGGTCCATTACATATAAGCCCCATTGTTGTGATCGCATCAAAGATGTCTAAAAGAGCAGACACTCGTCACAATATGTATTCTTATTGTTTGGCCTTAATTCGACATAGATATCAGATATACATGTATGACAAATCCTTCAATCTGAATTCTTCAGAAATAGTGGCAGTAGATATTTATATAGTTGTTATATCCATAAATCACCTGGCACAATTACTGAGTGACATTTCGACTATAACATGTGATAATCAACTATTGGAGATATTACGCCAGGGAGTTTTATGCCATATATTCTAAGTTAATATGTGTACTAGTTTAATGACGACACATTATTCAGATTTATCACTTGAATGTTATGATATTCCGTAGATCAGTTACTTAATGAAGCAGTCGTTAAATCAAATACTGCTCTATCTTGATTTATATTTGTAATTACGTCTTTTATTCACAGAAGATTTTTGTAGACTTAAACCAAGTGGAGATAATTATAGTGGTAATGTGGACTTCACTTCTACTGGACAGAGTTGTCTTTCTTGGAAGGAACTGTTGGATGAAGTTGGAGATCATTCTTATTGTCGTAATCCGAGAAGTCTGCTATCTTCACCATGGTGTTTTGTGGATTCACCAACTGGACCTATTAGTCAGACTTGTTCTATTCCTACATGTCGTTAGTATTTAATCTTCTCTTATGATGCATTCGAAACTGCAGCTTTACCAGCACGGGAATGTTCCACATCCGTTCTTGTGAATGGGCAAGTGATAACACTGCAAAATGCTCTTCTCACTTAAACTGCTCTTGAAGAGTTCACTTTTCCTTCAATTACAATTTTTTCTATTCACTATTTTCTGTTCAAGGGAGGTAAATCAGTAATTGTACTTGACGTAACTGCCAGCTATTTTATATTTCAACAGCTTGACAGGTGACCTTTTTGTGAATCTTGGGTACCAGTTGTGGAACCGATACATTATAAACATTATCGAGTGCCTTCCACGAAACAGGATATACCTGCTTTGGAATATTCAGGCTTTTTTCTTGTTTGATGGGCACTAGTATTGCCCAATTTTAGGATTTTCGTCTTTGGGGTGAGGTTCATATTTAGGATATATTGTATTGTATTCTGACCTAAGTAGAGCCGCGGTGGTGTTGCTAATCTAATGGTCCCGATAAAGTCCCTCGGGATTTTCCTGTGCCAGTGATGGACGAAGTGTGTGTGGGGGGTAACTAGGACAGCGTCGATGCCCCGTGTGTATATTGGCGTGCACGTAAACGAACCATTGGTGAAGAACAGTAGGGTGTTCATTTCATTTGCTATCGACGTAATAAAATCCCACTTGAACGTATGGAGGACGTTAAAGGTTGTTTTAATTTACAATTATATTCAGTTTTTACTTTTACTTCTGTTATAGCTGAGATCTTCACATTTACCACAATATATAGTAATGCAAGCATCAGTCTAGACCTATGGCTGTGTTACTATTGGATACCAAGTGACGGCAACCAACCAAGATATATACACAACCTCGTTTTGAACAATACAACAATTGATGACGCTTGTCAAAAATATTTTAATAAGAAACTCTTTTGTTATGATGACACCAACTGGTTAGAACTACAATTTATTTGTGGTAATTTGAAGTTTTTAAAATAATTGAAACGCTTTATAAAACATTTATTTTTGTTTTAGTCTATGTCATGTTGACGTTGGGAGAGGGATCATAATCCACAATATTTTAAAATAGGGTGGGGGGATGGGGGGGCAAACTATTATACAGATAGTGAACTAAATCCAAACAAATCAATGCGTAAAATCTGATAGAGGTGTGATATAGAGGCGTGGTCAATGTAAGACTACGTGTGATATAGAGGTGGGTCAATGTAAGGCTACGTGTGATATAGAGGCGTGGTCAATGTACTAGGTTCATGAATACCTGAAATCTGAGAGAGAGAGAGAGAGAGAGAGAGATGTGGTTTAACGTCCACTAGACACAAACTAGGTCATTTCGGGACTAACATATGGTTCAATTTTATTTCCATAATTCGCTTGCGCGTAGGGGTCTTTAGCAGTGGGAGGACCCGGAGAAAACCAACGAGGTTGGACAGGCGACCCTACTCCTTGCCACGTACAACCGGGGAATCGAAACCACGCCAGTTGACTCAATGACAGACTTTATGATACAGCGCGCACGTGCAAACCATTCAGCCATCTAGCCCCCCGAAATCTGAAATAGACGAAAGCGTAAATAGATAGAGTAGAGACGACATCAAATCTAGACAGGCGATAAGCTAAGCCACAGAATAAACCATGTCACAAAGGCTGGGCGCACAAAGACGTCAAACCTAATCAAGGACTTAAATTACAGTGAGCTGGTAGAAGTGTATGGATCGCCGCCTTTGGGGTGTAGGTGTGGGAGACGTGGTTTATCTAAAACAGAGCACTGTGATCAAAATATCATCTTCTACTGCGCCGATATGTTGCATTAAACAATTTAAATTTGCCGCCCGTTTCATGTTAAATATTTATGGATTATCTTACATTTACAGTTGATGGTATAGATACAACTATTGATGGTGTAGATACAACAACCGGAGGTATAGATACAACAACCGATGGTGTAGATACAACAACTGGTGGTGTAGACACAACAACTGATGGTTTAGATACAACTGGAGGTATATATACAACAACTGGTGGTGTAGGTACAACAACTGATGGTGTAGATACAACAACTAGTGGTGTAGATACAACAACTGATGGTTTAGATACAACAACTGGTGGTGTACATACAACAAGTGGAGGTATAGATACAATAACTGGTGGTGTAGATACAACAAGGAACGAAATAACGTCACCAGAAGACACTAGTACCGCCATTATCACAACAGACGGCACAACAACGTACAGTAAAGCAATTATCACAACAACGTCGCCGAACGATATAGATTCACCAGACGATACCAGTACTGCCATTATCACATCAGAAGATGCAACAACATCACTGAACCAGATAACGTCACCAGATGATGCCAGTACCGTACTCATCACAGCAGACGATACAACAACGTCACCAGATGATACCAGTACCGTACTTATCACAACAGACGATACAACAACGTCACCAGATGATACCAGTACCGTACTCATCACAACAGACGATACAACAACGTCGTCTGCTGAGATCAGTACGTTATTAAACGACTGGTTAATGAATGGCGTCATTAATTCCACATTTTGGTTTCCAACGACCGAGAAAACTACCTGTGGTTGTTTTTGTGCGGATAACATAATTATGAACGATAGCAAGCAAATGATGGAAACACGAATAAACGGTGTTCAAAAATATTTGGAGATAGATTATAAAACACTATCCGCTACTATTCGAAAGTACAACAGTATTAAAGACGATAGACCGTCGGTAGTATGCATAGGTGGTTCGGCTGTGATGATAATATGCCTTATCATGGCATGGATCATTTTGTCTGACGCTATGAACTTCTGTCGATATGTATATGGTTTGAACAAAAAAGAAGTAGCGCGTGAGTAATACCTACATTCTAGGCCAACCCCTTGTCAGTCATATTTAATTTATGCGTTAAAGACAATATTTTAGAATACCCTCACAACGAGTTCTCTTATCAGTTAATTTATCTAATACAGTAGAACATAAATTAATCACAATATGTAACACTATCTTAGTGATAACGGATATCAGTTTCGTATATATAGGATTTATTTACATCGGAACAGAGTATAAAACAGCTACATAAATACAACAGGAACTAAACTACATCGGGAATATACACGATAACATTAACATACGCCGGTCTCTACTCTTCTCTCGTCTGTGTCTCTCCTTCTCTCCGCTCGTCTCCAACTGACAGTAAACTCCTGGTTATATAGCCGCCGACAAAATGGATAAGAGGCATCATCATATGTGATATTGTTTATTTATCAGGTTATGATATCTGTAATTGCACTGCGTATTTCCTTTGAAGTAATTATCAGGTCATGGTATGATGCACTGACCACTGCACTTTCCTTTAAAGGCATGCTGAGTGTTGTACACGGATCATGTGTAGCTTGTAAAGGACATATGAGATTAATTACATGTTTAATTGCAACACAGACAGTCGTGACTTAACAGAAGTATATACAGTGTTAAAGTCGATATTATCTATTATCAAACCAGCTGGAGTCAGTAAGTTCACAGAATCTAAATAATAGTTCGTATTTTATAAAATAGAAAATTAAGCACTTTGTCACAAATATTCGTTATTAATGAATACATATGTGTAGCTAAGGTCATATAAAATAAATTTTACAACATTTTGCTTAACTGGACAAACATATAAATAATTTTGATTATGATCCGTAAGCGATAAATTGGATTAATGAGGCCAGAGTATAAGAGGCAGTCACTTAGATGAATCAAGCAATGTGTGTTTGCTTTAGTTTATTGTGAAACTGCAGGCTGGACCTTGGATTCGTTCGACTAGTAATGATATAATTCTAGTTGGCAGATAACTTGGATGACAACTCACTTCTCATTATAAACCCCGTACTTTAGAAAACGACCAACAAATGACATAACTCAATAATGGTATTGTTGCGACACTATCAAACCAGCTGTATTAACTATAATCAAATACAGGGAAAGAGAAATGGGGTTTAACGTCCACTCCACATAAACTAGCTTATTTCGGGACTGACATATGGCTCAATTTTATTTCATTAATTTGCTTGCGGGTAGGGGTCTTCAGCAGCGGGAGGAAACCGGGGGATCGGGAGAAATCCCACGAGGTTGGACAGGTGGCCCTACCCTTTGTCACGCACAGGAGGGGAATCGAAACCACACCACTTGACTCAATGGCAGACACAACGATGGAAGGCACACGCGTTTACCATCCGGTCACCCCCCCCCCCCCCCCACACACACACACCCTATCAAATACAATCTAAATCAAAATGAACATAAAACACTAAATACAAAAACATCTCCATTATTTCATTTTAAACAGTTTACATTAATTTCCCAAAAAAAAATCAGCGTTGGCGTTTCAGCTAGTGTCGCAAGAAGTGAATCACACAGCTCAATGCACCTGCATTTACACGTAATCTACGGAAGCCCATATACAACTATGTAAACACTCTTGCAACAATATGCTAATGATTTCCCTCTAATTCCTACGTGCACCTGTTGTTGGCGGTACCAATCAATCAAATAACAATATTTATTGCGCGGAAGATATCGATTACTTTAAGTCAATGTATTTCTATGTAAAGTGTTGTGTGATTTTGTTAGATATATTTCTATCAAGTGTTGTGGGATTTTGTTCGTGTATATTTATAGATATATGAAAAGTAGTTATGTGTCCTCATATTATTTATTTATATAAAAATGAAATTGTGTAGACCTATATAAATATGAAAGATATTGTTAATTAGTAGTTGTTTTCATTTTATTGTACCAGTAAGATATGATATTTTATTTTATTTTATGATATTGGTAGGTTTTGTTTGTAATGCAGAGTATGGTCACCGTATCTATATAAGGCACTAAAGTAGATTTTGTGTATAATGCAGAGTATGTTACAATGTGAGTAGACTGTCATTACTTACAATGAGAACGACAAGAGGAACTTGTTGAAACTTAAGAGTGAAAAACTCAGTGATTGTTTTCCATATACATGTAAATTATGTTTTAATAATATATATTCAATGACTAAATGCCGTATAAAGATTACACTGTTCAGTGTAAGGTTATTCTTATTAGAACCCTTACTATTTATTTCGGATGTATTTTTGTATTAATGCCATAACATTATAGTTTTGTAGGCTTGACCGTATTGTAATTAAAATTAGTTTCTGAATTTAACACAACAAAGCTATGGAAAACCAAATGGGACAATATTAATGATTATCGTTTCTACATGCATCTAAACAATTAGCTATAAGCACTGTATCCTGACAGTGTGAGAATCATTGATACCAACCCATAACATGCCAAACGATGAACGTCTAAGCCAAGTAGAGCCACTATTGTATTGACGCTGTCCTCTGGGATGTTTTTCTTTGTTTATTACAAATGGCGCTCGAAACCATTATATGCGAAGAGTACACGACTCGTAGACTGATTTTAAAATGTCCACTGTGTCTCAAATAGTTTATATTAGGATCCCATATTTTCACCGCGAGATAATGATTGAAATGAACAAAAATTGAATTTCAATTTCCAATAGTATGGATAATGCTGAGTTAGGGGTAAGCCCCTTTCAATTCTAGAGGCATTGATGTAGATATGCTGTTTTGTGAATTTCTAGTTGGATCATCTCGACGCCGAAGAAACCATTTAGCCAAACTAAAGTACACAAGGTGGCATATCAGTAATGATTGTATTCATATTTGTGTGAAGCATTAGAACAGTGAGAGAATGAACCCTTCTCATTTTCAGATTTGGTGTAAAGCATTGGGATAGGAGTGCATAAATCCTAGGAGATATATTATGTATCTGGAACAGCAGGCGAACATGATAATAGTGAGATCAGATTTCTAGAATTCATAAAGGTTTGCTTTTAGACAAGCGGCTATCTATGACAATATATTCATGGAGACATGCCGTGGTTTTGGGGGTGTTTCCACTGTTATTTCGGAGATAACTGACTTGTGAGAAACATTCGTAATATTAATCTATAACATTAGGACGTGTTTGATAAAGGGTATCCGAATTGTTACTCTTTTGTTTTATATTAAACATACATTATGCAAGAGCTAAATCTGTCTATTGTAGGTTTTTGAGGTCTGAAATGTTATCTAAATTATTAATTAGATATTAATTAACCTATCCAGACTATAATCAACTCTAGATGGCATCGCTAGCCTGCGATCTTTAGTGGATTGTGAGCCGATTTACTGCATAAATTTCCTTCACGATTTAAAGATTAAATGGATAATCGAGACTGTGTTGTTTATCGTACTGACTTTAGTAATGATGATCAAGGCTAGGCGAATCGCTTTGTTCTTGGTTCATAGTGGATCAATTTGAATGAAATTTTCAGCAAATTTCCTTTACATTTTCTAGTTTTTAACTATTATAGTGAGAACTGACAACTCGTTATCGAATCTCCCATAATGTATCTTTAGGGGTGTTTATTTTTTCATTTCGGAGTATGTTTATATATGACTCGGTGAGTAAGGCGTTGGTGTCTTATTCTTAATCATCAGATCCGAGGCCCGATCCGTCTGTTGGCCTAAAAGTACCTCGGAATTTTTTCCGAGTGGTTTCCCGTTACCAGTGGCGCCGGGAGGAGGGTCTGGCAAAGACAATTTTTATAGACGTGCTTGAAATCTGTTCTTAAAGATGGGTTCCCAGAAAAGTATTTATCGGGTGGTTATTTCCAATAAAAGTATGGTAATTTTGGTATATATGGAAAGTAGAGATATCCAAAATACTGGATTCCCCGAAAAACACTCATGGAGCGTATATAGGATAAAAATGTAAGGGTTCCCCTAATCAACAGCCCGGCGATTAGGAATTTCTGCACGTGTGATGTCAAACGTCACACGCGAACATTGAACGCTTGATGCACAAGTTGATAAACTTTATGAAGAGTTAGACGTACAACACTTTCTGAGATAAAAATGACGGAAAAAAACGCGGGTAGTGGTTAATCCGAGAATTTATTTGTAATAAATAGTAAGCGATTAAAGACAACATCGTCTTGTGTATGCATTGAATTCTCCTCTGACTTCCAAGAGAGGTAAGTCACGTGACGTAAACGTGACCTGGTATGATCGAATTTTATAGCAGGACACTCATTCGCAATTACAATGTTTGAGAAGGATTTGAAGCAAAATTATGACAAATTAATTAGTTTGAATATGTTTTTAGTCCATATATACCATTAAATCACCCAGTTTGTACGCGGGAACCCATCTTTAAAGACCAGATCAAGTAATATGTTGAGATTGTGTTTATCTCTAGATAAATTAATTAATCTTTAGACACATCCAATCCTCAATATAATTAACAATGGTATCCTTTAAAACAATAGATATAAATAACAAATGTCTGCCCATGAATTTTAGGAAACATTTTGATGTTCCCATTATAATTGACTGTTTTGAAGATTTTATTGAAAGACTCTCCAATTTATTGGCCCGTGCTGAAACGTGGACCAATTATAAACCAAAATGAGAACTTATTTGATGTAACCCGCAAAAGCGAAGACATGTGCACTAACACAACTCATTCGGTTAAATGAATACTAGAACCGGAGTAGGGTGGATATAGCCATGACCCGGAAGTAGCATATCTCCGAAACCGGAAGTGGTAGCCCATCGCCACTAGGTCTATGTTACTCCTCACCCCGAGCTACTACTATACACCAAGCTTTAGCCTCTGGACAGCCCTAGCGTAGCCGGCAACACCTTGAACAGACCGACAAACAAACGACAGTCACAAATAGTAGAAAAGATTAGTGAATGGTACACATATTTAAAGGCTTTCTAGAGTAAGGATTTCGATGTTTTCTTGATATCATTCTTCAAACATACATTATGCAAGAGCTAAATCTGCCTATTGCATAATCAACTCTCGATGTCAACGCTAGCCTGTGATATTTACTGGCTTAGGATCCGATTTTTGCTCAACTTTCATTCATGATTTAATCTTGAAATGGATAATCGAGACTGTTTTTATCGTACCGACTTTAGTAATGATGATCGAGGCTATGCCGCTAAAATTGCGGTTCAGAGTGCATCAATTAGACTGAAATTTTCAGCAAATTCCCTTTCCATTATCTAGTTTTAACTATTATAGTGAGAACTGCCAGCTCTTTATCTAATCTCCCATAATGTATCTTTAAGCGACCGATATCTGAAATATATAAAAGGATAAATTAATTCATATTGATAATATAACGTAAACAATTTTGCCCGTCTTTATTAGCACTGTTGGTGGAGAAAGTATGACGTTTACCTCATTCATTCATTCATTCATTATAATCGATGAGACGAGATTAGACAACCTATCCTACAAATGAATCTGTCCAAACCCCGCCTTGATATTTAGAAAACTCCCTTGATTCGGTTCACGAACGCTACCTACATTATCAGCGTTAGATTTGATTAATTGGTAAATATGTTTAATCGAGTGTTATTATTTCAAGAAAACTATCAAATTATTTATGTTGTGGAAAAGTTATTGAGTTAATTAAACACTGTTTATGTTCTTATAAGTATGACTAATGATTAACAGGTTTTTATTATGTTGAAGGGAGAAGAGGCCATGCCTATGGAAGCATATTGCGGCCATGGTATAATCTCAGCCATGGATGCAAAAGGCCCTGTACGTGCCCGCTATTCACGAATTTATACACCGTGTTTTATAGTGACATGTTTATATGTAAGAACTATTTTTACCTTTTCATACCTCCTTCATATTTTTATAATCTTATTTAGATCAACCTGTCCATAACATGATACATAATGTATTAAACGTAAAAATTGTAATAAACATCGAAATGAACAACTAATTCCATGATTTGGTAATATTATTTCAAGCACATTGATGAATGAGGCATATACCTATGTCAGTAGGTTTAATATTGCTTAGAGGGGTTGCATGGCCGGCTGAATGGTTAGCACGTGCGCGCTGTATCATAAGGTCTGTCATTGAGTCAACTGGAGTGGTTTCGATTTCCCGGTTGTACGTGACAAGGTTTCCCCGGATCCTCCCATTGCTAAAGACCCCTATTAGAATAAAATTGAACCATGTGTTAGTTCCTAAATGACCTAGTTTGTGTCGAGTGGACGTTAAACCCATCTCTCTCTCTCTCTCTCTCTCTCTCTCTCTCTCTTAATGGATTCATCAGTAGTAAATATATTCGCTTGGCCGCTTCTATGACTGAAAGGAATGAAATCGGAGCGAGTTAATTAGCTCTCAATGTTATTTTTTTTTTCTTCTGCAAATTAAGTTCTAAAACAATTTTTACATAATTAGTAAGTATATCTGGATAAAAAAATATTTCTTATTTAGTGTAAATGGGGGAGCCACGGTGTCTAAGTTGGTAAGGCGCCGGCTCGCCAACCTGCAGGCCGCGTGGTGCAGGACGGGGAGCCTGATAAAGACAGCTGTCTAGCCCATCGGGTTGGACGAAAAACCGAGGTCCGGTCTATACATTGGCAGTTTGACTTCGATATATAGCGTGGTCGGAGTACAAAATTTACGGGAATTAAGTGGGGGGAAGATGGTTTTTATTTTTTTATGATCTATTGGTCCAGTACTAACTCTCCATGGAGTTACTCATTTTTACCACTTGGGGAAACGTTATGGCGCCAT